TATTTAGAAAGTGGTTTCTACCAGTCAGAAGTGATAAGTCGCCTGGGCCGTTTCCAGTAGAGGCAATGAGACAAGAAACTTGGATGCTTTTGGGGAAGATGTCTATTAACAAATTATTTTTAAATAATATTTGTTTGCAATGATAAGCTTTGTAATAAGCTCCCTGGCTCCTGACTGCCTTTCTAAATCAGTTGCTTTCAAGTTTGACACAGCTGAAGGATGTGGTCTTGTACAGAAGGAGCACGACCTTCACTTAAACAAGCTGGTGAGGGGACAGGGAGGCAAAGAGACTGTGCCAGTACTTTTGTGGAAAGGCATACAAATACATTGTTTTACATTGTAATCACTGGTGTCATTTTACCTCAGGGACCTAAAATTGTGAACTATGCCCTTTCTAAAGCTGGCCAACAAAGAAGCACAAGCATGCTCAAGAACAAGAGGTGAGAGCATTAAAAAGTCAGCATAAGCTGAATTAATTCCTAGTAATTTTGAAAAGTGGAACAGATATTTTACTGCTGGTGACAGGCTGCAAGTTCTGCACTTACCGCGGTTGCTCTACCTGTGAGTTACTCAAGTATAGTGTATTTTCCCATCTAAAACTGTGCTTAATACTTTCTGGTTAGAGATGTGTGTCATGTTGCCCTTTGCAGAACACACACGAAGATGGATGCTCTACCATGGGGCTCTCCTCTGATCACTGTTGCATGCTGTGCCTGTCCTGGAAACCCCAACCCAGAGCTGCAAGCAGCCAAATGGAAACCAGAACAGCCCATTTTGCATGTCAAGTTTGACCCCCCATGCTGCCCAAGTCAAAAAACACCCTAGTTCAGAAATTTCCTGCCTTCAGGCTATTGCTGGTCCCTGAGCCAGAGCCTGGCAGGTTGGAAACCTCAGCTTTCAGTCTGCTGTTGGCAGGTACAAGAAGAAAGGAGGGAAAGAGGCTCTCGCAGGGCTCTCTGCAAACTCTGACATGATTTTAATGAGCAAGTGCATTCCTTGGGTCGTGCACAGCTGGGAGCACAGCAGCAAAGCAGGCCAAGATTCCTGTGAGGACTTGTGGCTTTCCAGCAGGTTGAAGTTATATCTGCCACTGCACATTGCCTGCTGGCAGTCAGAACATCCATCAGCGGCCTGGGGGAGGGAGAGCCAATGCTGGCACCTTGGTGGCAATGGCAGACTCCTCCTAGGACATGGGATCTATTTATCTTTGACAACCAGACCTCCCCCTTTGTCTGCACTGGGAGTGGTGGAATTGCTGTGCTACCCCAGCCTCAGGGTAGTTTATGACTCACCTGCTGTTTAGAATATAAATAAGGTAGAAGGGGAAAAGTTATCAGCTGCCAGGAGATTGTTAGAAGTGCTTTGCTTTATTGATGCTGTGTAAATGAAAAGCACAAAAGGTGCAGAAAGCATCTGAGTCTTGCCTACTGCTGAGTGCATGAGTGAGATAATCCATGGTACAGCAGTACCTTTCTCAGGTCTCCTCACAGTCTCGTAAAAAATCAATGGACAATTATAGATGCAACAAAGAAATCAGGTGATTTTAATAAACAACAAACATGTTTTTTCCCCTTCACCTAGGCCCTACTAAACGTAGTGCAGTGAGGTACATCACTGAAAGACTTCTGAGAACAGGCAGGATTGAAGGGATGAAGCTGCTCTAAGATACACAGGAACCAGTTTGGAGGCTCAGTCTATTGTGATGGCACTGAAAGCTAGGTAACAACTCAACTGCATTCTGGATTAAAAACAAAAACAAACAAACAAAAAAGGGCTAAGAAATAATGTAAAATGGGGAAGGAAAGGGAAATGTATCTGTTGATTATAGGTGTTTTTTTTCTCCTGTGTTTCCCTCTATCCAGACAAATCCAGAGACACTGATTCCTATATCTTGCAAATACTGTGGCCACTTTCACACAACAAGTTGGACTTTCCCTCTTTCCCACTATCCCTCTGTGTATCACCTGGGAAAATGCCCTCCAAAGAGATGTTTTATGCAAAAAAACATTTGCCCTTTGCTGCTTGCAGAGCTACATGATAATGCCGAGACCCAGGGGCCAGAGCTGGGGCTGGGCTAGGATGCAGGGTTAGCTTTCTCAGTTGTTCCTGGGTCTCTAAGCAGCATTTAGGACTTCTCTGCTGAAACTATCCTTTGCCTCCCCACTCTCTTGCATGTCAGCAGAGCAGTGGGTGGAGGTCCCAGACCAGCTGGGCTGGACATGGAGGTGCATTAAAGCTCAGACATGCCAGTTGTGCCTCCTCAGGGGTCACTGGCCATCCCTGCTGCAGCTTCCCATGCTCCTGCAATCCAGCAGCTAAGCACTCAGAGCTGTGCCTGCACATAGAGGCATCATTACAAAAATCAGAGCCAATTTTGCCCATTGCTCTGAGAAGAAGTGGCAGGCTTGGGTTTGTTCCCAAACCTGCTGTCTGAGATTCCCCAGCTGAACCCATGACTTACCTGCCACCTTGCAGAGAGCCTTTGCAGGCAACAGAAGATACCTGAGACAAAGCAAAGGTTCAGTTTCACCCAGACTCCCACCCTCGGGCCAAGATGATGTAGCTTCTGCCTCTCCTTGCAAGTAAAGGCAGTCCTTGACAAGCCAAATTTTGAAGTCTCTTGATATCCAAAAGATATGAGCTGCTCTGGACTGGCCCCATGGTGACTCCTGACAGGATAAGGCAAAACAGAGGGTTTATGAAGGGCCTGGAAACATCATCACCACCCTTATGGTGCTTCCAGCTTTGCTGCTTTCCTTCCTGGGGAATGCAGCAATACATTTGCTGAAAGTTTTCTTGCTTTTTAATCAGCTCTAAACAACCCACAACACAGTGACTTACACAACAAAGAGCAGAAAACGACCAAAGCTCCCAATAGCAAAATTTCCATCAGTGACAACCAGAAGCCACAATGAAATCAGTCCTCACTCTTCATAGGGACACATTTTAATGTGAAGAAAACCTGTGCCAGGTCTTGGAACATGGTCAGAAAGGACGACACATCCTTTCTTCACCTACAATAATGTACATGCCCAGAGGAAGCAGTTAGCCCTACAGCTGTACAAAACCCTCCCTGACCAACCACAAAAAAATCCAAGAAGAAAAACTGTGTGAAAACGTTTTATTGTTGTTGTTTATTACAAGTTTTTAAGAGAAACTAGTTTAAAAAATGTATTCCCGAGGGTCTAAATCAGCAACTCCACTTTTGAGACAGAAGATCTTTTCCAGCCCAAGTCATGTGGGGCAGGAGGTTGGACTTGGTGAGGTCTTTGCCCCACAGCATGACAGAGCCCTTGGCCATGCCAGTGGGGCTGCACAGCCAATGTGGTGTCAGACTGATTCACCAGATTTGGGATGCATGGGCACTGCTTTACCCATAGTTGCTCTACTACCAAACTGGAATTACCTCCTATTTGCAGTGGTGCATGATGTTTGTATGTGTTGAAAAGTAGATCTTTGGGATTCCTAAAAATGTGAAGAGAAGCTGTATCTACCCAGAGAAACCAGAGAAGCTCCATCTATCAGGAAACTTAACCTAGACACAACATTTCTTTGTTCTTTTTTGCCATCTTCAGTTCCCATCCGGCTTTCAGGTCCCTGGGAACAGCCCAAACTGGCAAAAGCTAAGCAAATTCCAGCAGCTGCTGGGAAACAGCCCCAGATCTCACCAAGAATCATTGGGCAGATGATTGGGAATTTCAGGGGGGCATCTGCCACAGGAATGAGGTATCACGTTGTATTTAAGGGTACCGCACGCTCTCCTGCAGTTTTGAGCTCCAAAGGAGGAGCTGCAGCTCACTCTGTTCCTCCACAGGGAGTGGCTCTTGGCGTGGCCTTCTTCCCACCCAACTCTCACCCCAGGAGCAAAAATAAATGAAAAGTAAAAGAAAAAGTCAGGCTTCATATTCTGGATGGATATTTATTTGCTTAAGAGGTTTTCTTTTTTTTTCTTTTTTTTTTTAGTTTTTCTTTTTTGGTACAAAGCATCCAGGAAAGCTTTTACTTCTCTTTTTAAAAAATAAAAACTAAGTTTTTTTTAAAAAAAGACACATGAAAAGGAAAAAAAAAAGTCAATTATTTGCAATTTCTCTGTTTTTATTCTGCCTTCCCACCCCACCCACTTCCCTTTCCCCCTCCCTAATTTGGACTGATTTTCATTCTTTTCCATATATATTTAATAAAATAAATAAAGGATTTTCTTTGTCGTGTATTGCAGTGCCATTTTTTTAAACAAAGGCTTCATGGCTCAACATTGCAAGGTAATAACAAACAAAAGGATTATACATTAAAATCCTCCCCCTCTCAAGACTCCCCCTAGCCCTCCCCTCCAAACCACGAAATAGAATACAATTCAAGTAGTCTTTTTTTTTTTATGTTTTAAATGTATGGATATATAAGACAAAGCAAGTACAGAACTGGTTAACAGAGTGTCCCCATTTTATTAGCAAGTGAGAGTATATTAGGGAGATGTAATTGATTCCCCCCCTTTTACGGTTCCTAGACAGATAATATATATTATTTTAAACCCAACCTATTTTACAGCCCTCTGCCCACCTCTCAAACCCATCTGCCCACCGAGCCTCAAGCCAGAGACTTGCCTGTCCCCCATCCCATGCAGCAGCCCCGGGGCAGGTGCAGCCCCTGCTCCTGGGGCAGGGACGCGAGGGTCCGGCGGGAAGGACGCAAAGGGCAAGAGAAGGAAAAGGAGATGGCAGGGGTGGAACTGCTGCTCCTGCAGGGGCTCGGTGCGAGGGCTGCCTGCCTGCCTGCCTGCTCGCTGGACCATCGGCACTCCAGCAGGGACAGGGAACAGAACGATTCCCCACGGCTCGGGAAGCCAAGCTCCAGGGGTGCTCCGTGGCCAAGGGGTCCGTGCAGAAGCAGGGCCTTGAGTTCTAACTGGCAACACCTTCCCCATTCAAAATAGTTTGTCTCCAGAACAGTTCCCTTTAGTCTAAGTTGCGGTGGTTGTGTTGTTTTTGTTTTGTTTTTTTTTTTTTAAACAAAAATAAAAAGGATGCGTGTCGATGTATTCTGTGTGTGCGTGCATCTGTGTACATGAGTAACAGCCAACTAGCTCATATGGTCATGACCAAGCTATATTTCAGAAGAGAAAAGAAACACATTTATCACACTTTTCCTAAAACGAAAAGCTAAAATTTCAAGTTCAGTATTCGCTATCTTGTCCTTCCCTCCCCACCCTCCCTTGCTATTTCTGGGTTTTTTCCCTTCCAACTTACTTTAGCACCATAACACATTTTAAACATTACAATCCCTCTTCAGATACTACACAAAATGTCCCATAAAAATAGTGCTTTTTTGCCAAAAAAGTTATATAATATATTATATATATAAATCAACTAAATCCGTGGCAAATGTGCAATGCAGACGCCTCCTCCATTTAAAGTGAGCATCAGCTCACTTTTTTTTCTTTTTTTCTTCTTTCCCCTTTCCTTTTCCTTCTCTCTTTCTTGCTTTCTCTCTCCTCTTCCTCTCTTTCTCCCGTCATCGGTGATTTCAAAAAAGGTGCAAGTCGATTTGGAATCTTGTAATGAAGCACACACACAAAAACGCAGATGGGGGCTCCTCGGAACTTCTTCTCAGGTACGTTTTTCTTTTAAAGGTGCAAAAGAAAGTTATAAAAATAAGAAAAACCAAAAGAAAAAAAAAAAACAGAAAAAAAGAAGAAAAAAAGTGGGGGTGGGAATGAGGCAAAAAATTTTTATCCCTCAATGTTTCTCCCTGTTCTATTGTTTTTTTCACTTTATTGTCAAGAAAGACACGGAATGGACGCTTCTCGAGGAAAAAAAGATTAAAAAAAGAATTTAACTTCATATCCTTTTTTCCTCTTGCTCTTTCTTTTGTCTTCTGGCGTTGGCACCGGGGATGTCACGCAGCACCCGGCAGCAAAAAAGTTCAAGTGCCAAACTGTCCCTTGGCGAGTACAGGTTTGGAAATACTGGGGGCGCAGGGGAACAAAACAGGTGTGGGAAACGAAACAACCCTCCCCCCCCACCCCGAAAGGAAGATGCCGTGGGAGCGGTGCTACTCGCCACCGCCATCCCCTCCTTGCTGTGTCAGTTGTTTGGTTGGGGCCGGAGCGGCGTGAGGGTGGCCCCGCCGCCCCGCTCCTCGGCTCAGTGGCCCTGGGGACGGAGGGGCTTGGGGGTCGGGAATCGCCAGTCCTCCCGCCCTCCCCCAGGAGATCAAAAATCGAGACGGCTGGTCAGGGTTCATTTCTGGGGGCCAGCCGTTTCCGGGGAGGCTCGCGGCGCTGGGGGCCTCTGGCTGGGCAGGGAGATGAGGGGACGGTGCAGTGCCTTGGCTTCCTCGGCCGCCTGCAGCCCCTCCGCCTGCCACCGGTACCGGCGAGCCCGCAGGATGTTGGGCGCGTCCCGCTGCCGCCGCTGGGAGCTCTTCTTCTGCCACACGTCGTACTTGGAGTACTTGCCGTGCGAGGGCTTCTGGAAGCTCTCCTGCAAGGACGAGGATAGCAATGTTAGCCTCTATTAGCCTCCACTCAAGCTTGCCTGCTCTCCAGATGGGGATTCCCTTCTTGGACCTCCATCCCTTCCATGGAAATATTGCTTCATCCCTGGAAACAGTTGCAGAAAGGTTGGACAGGGCTGCGAGCAACCTGATCCAGTTGATGCTTATTGCAGGGCAGTTGCACTAGATGACCTTTAAAGGTCACTTCCAATCCATGCTATGACTCTGTGACCCAGCCCACCCCTGGTTCCCCACCTTACTAAGAGCTGACTTTTGGCAGGCTACTTGGCACGACTTGCCAACGGTGGCTGTCTCTCAAAAGTTCTGCAGAAACATCAGACCTTGCAGCTGGGGTTTGTTCTCTCCACCCACGGCCTTCCTGTCTTTTTTCTCTGTTTGTTTCAGAGGAGGGCCACCATCCCTGCACAGCCCCCTCACCTTGCTGAGTGCCGGCAGGCCGGCCAGGGAGGTGGCAGAGAGGTCACGCTCCGACTTGACGGATTTGGCGCAGTACGTTTCCAGCAGAGCCAGGTCGCAGCTCCGGAAGCAGCACTCCTCCACGATCCCCCGGTTGATCCGCCGGTTATTTCGTCCCACCGGTCTACCTGCAACAGCAGAGACCCTGGCATTAGCCACCAGCCTGGGCTGGACCCTCTCCCTAACTCCTTGTAGGCATCCCTCCACCGCCAGCCACCAGAGTTTCTCCCAGACCAGCTGGCACGCACCCACAAACCAGCCAAGTCTCACGTTAAGACTTTCCCAGACAAACGCTACTGATGCCAACACGTGCCTCCAGCAGCAGTCTAAAGGCACTTTAAATGATGGGGGTTTATCTCCCTCCTGTATCTCTGGCATGGGTGGCCCTGTGGGGCATAGCTGAGGCGAGGAAGCTCAAGCCCAGCCTGACCACCAGCGCTGCCTTGATTACCACGACCGTGTCTGATGTTGATCCTGGCAAGCGAATTTTATTCGAAAGAAGCAGCACAGCATTGTGGCTGCCAACCTCCCTCGGCCGGATCAACGCTCAGGCAGGTGAAGTGAACCAAGGCGGCTAAATTTTACCAGATGGGACAGCTCTGAGACAGCTGCAGAAAGAATACAGCTTCCACACCCGCCAAGAATAGCTATTAAACTTAATCTTTTAATAAGGGTTCCTCTCCCATTTCTGCCTGCAGAAGGATGCAAAAGCCCATGTCTGGTGCAGTAATGACCAAGTGCATTTCATATCACTGCTTAATGATGGCCAAAGTGCTCCAGGGGAAAAGCTTACATCAGTTTTACCGTGTTTCCTCCCCTCTTGAAATAAAAGAGAAGAGTAAAGTTGAATTTCTGATGCAAAGCAAATTTGCTTGGGAATTGTGCCTTCCAGAATGTAAACTGGCACAAATCAAATGGATTTTCTCCATGCTTTTGCACGTAACATGTTGTGCTCTTGTGCTGTTGTGGGGTTTGCAGCCAGGCTTCTGCACACTGCCACGAGCACCCTGTCCCAGGCCAAGGTGCTCTAAGGGAGGGAAACAGAGGCCAGCAACAGTGGGGCTTGCAAACAGGATCCGGTACCACATCCCAGCCAGGAGATTTTGGGCATAGGGAAAACTGAGAGCTAGTGGTCTAAGTGCAATGCCTAACACTGCTCACCACGGCATGCTGAGCCCTCACCTCCCAGCTGGCCGGCAGGAACAGGCACGACTGCCCACACTGGCCCTGTGCATGACCCATGATCCTCACCCCTTGCACTCCTGATGAGGCAGGCACTCAAGTCTAAGGCCTTGATGAAGACCTAAGGCTTGCTTAAATGGAGCTGACTTCTATCCCTGGGGGGTATCCCACCCTGGATGCTCACCCAAAGTGCAAAGCACAGTTTCTATGCATACAGTGCAACCCCACATGTGAGAAGCAGCCCTATATGTGCAGTATAGATATGCATGTGGGATGCAGTCCTGTGCATTCAATGCAGCCCCACATGTGCAACGCAGATATGCATATTCAACACAGTTCTCTATGCACAACAGAGCACTGTGTGCACAGTGCTGACATGCAAAACACCTCAAAAATGCCTCGCTGCTGCCTCTGTAATAACCCTGGCAGCAGGGCACCTGCTCTCTCTTAAAATCAGTCGTGTTCCCATAGGCCAGGAGCTCTCTGGTCCATGCTGGTGCATTTCCACCATGCACAGAGGTCATACAAGCAAACACAACATCAGTGTGCTGGTTGGTGAGGCAGCTGACCCAAACCATGAGACCTGCCTTTGGGAGCCATTTCAAATGCTTTGTTTTCCACATTCGTCCTCCTTGTGCCACTACCTTCCTTTTCTTTTTCTCTAGAAAAATTTCAGGCATGACCTTTAACCAGCCCCATAGGGAGATGAGAAGGATGGCTCCCCCTAGGCAAAGGTTCATCAAAGGGAACACTGTTAGGAGTTTAATTTTCTCTCTTGTCTTCAATAAACACACTGCATTGGGCCCTCCCCTGAAAGGCAGGGCAGATGTGTTGCGTGCCCACAGCTCAAGTGATGCCAGAGTAGGCAACCCGGGTGGTGAAGGCCAAAGGAGACAGGTCCAGGAGCCAACTGCATGTATTCTTCTCTGTGCATGCAATGCCCAGTGAGATCTGTGGGAGAAGTGCACGCCACCAACACCCTGCACTGCACTTGCTCGGCTCCTGTCAATCCCAGTGCCAAACTCAATCCATGGCAGGCTGCTGAAGCTTTAAGCTGCTCTACAAAGGCATCCTGATATGGGCAGAAGGAGAGTTTAGAAGGGAAAGAGAAAAAATTCAAGTCTCCCCCTCTTGCTAGCACATCCCCTAAGGGCTACATTCACACTCCCGCTGAACAGAAGGTTGCACAAGTGATGACACACATGGTTTGAGGAGAAGTTGAGGTTTTCAAAGGTTACATATCTCCTCTCAAAAACAGAAGTTTCCCACTTGCAGTTATGTGTTTGTTTGGAAAGAAGAGGGGAGGAGAAAAACAATGAGGAAAGCAGGACTGTATTCACCGCTGTGCCTTCAAGGGCAATTTCTGGCGTGGGTAAGCACGGGAAGATCATGTCAGCGTGTGTTTGCAAATGCCCAGGTGTGGCACCACCAGGGTGAGCTCCCAGCAGGGACCACCACAGTGACACAGCCTCTTCCTCCCTGACAGCTGCCCCAGCCCCAGTGTGCTGCCCTTTCTCTCCTGCATAAAGCTGCTGCAAGCTGTTACCCTTGCCGGCACCGCTGCCAGCTCCACCGTGACTCTCCGATAGGGCACGTTTCCCATTACATAATTGTCCGTACAGACCTCGCCAAATGCCACTACAACCCTCCGGGGGAGAGTTACTTTAGGAAAAAAAACAAGCAAACATAACAAACAGGGATTTAGTCTCAGAAAGTACCTGGAAACGACAGGACATTGCTGGCAAACAGCAATATTGCCGCTGACCTGGATTGGGAAGAGCGTTTGTTCTGTAACACAATTTACACAGGGACTAAAGGTTGAATTTCCTGGCTTTTGCCCATGGGTGGCATCTCACTCTAGCGCCACTGCCAAACCCAGGGAGGGCTTTGCCGCCCTGTCCCTTGCCCGCAGGGGAGAACTGTGTGGGCAGCAGGCTGCGGCATCGCCGGGGCACGCGAGCCACTTCCCATCACAGCAGCCACCGCTTCCTCCTGAGGAAATGCGCTTCCTCTCGGCCCTCAATGAATGGCTAGGCTCCCTTTTTCCCCAGACTCTGCTTCACCAAAACCTTCTACAGCGCTGCTGAGGGGAAAAGCCCTGAGATGCAAAGTGCTCTGATGCAAAGCCCAGCAGTGTGAAGCCCTCCGGCTGCCTGGGGCTATTCTTGCCTAGGTATGGGCTCTCCTGACAGGGCATCCCAGAAGAGGCACGAAGCCAAACGCCCTCCTGGGAGAACCCAGAGGCCACGTACCTGCAGCTCAGCTATGCCACTGCGCCAGAGGCAATGGCACTGCCACTGCCATGGGGGACAGGAGGGTCCCTTCCCTGGCACAAACACCCCACTGCTCCTGGCTCCCCGCTCTCACCGGGGCCGAACAGATGCTGCAGGGAGGGGTGCACGGTGCTGGTGCCACCCTGGCTGGGTCCCCTCTCCTCCGGTCAATCAGGCGGTCAGCCGAGTGGAAGGGGACTTTGGGTGTAAACAGTCCCCGTGCCCCTGTCGCAGGAATGTTGGGAGCAACAAGGGGGCCTTTGTGCAGCACCGGGCCCCGTCCCAGTGCCCCCGGGCTGGCCCTCCCCCACCCCGGCACCGCACTTTCCCCCCTGCTTTTTCCTAGTATTATTCGGAGGAGCGGCGGGTGCGCAAGAATGTGCCCCGTCAGCACAAGCGGCTGCAAAGAGCTAAATTCTTATCAGCTGTTGGAAAGGAGGAAACAGGAGCTGTTGTTTACAGAGAAGTCGGCCGCCTCTCCCCCTGCAGCCCCTTCTCCCTCCCTGCCAGCGCTGCATGACAGCAACTTCAGGGCTGAGGCTTCCTCTCGACCTGCCCTGCTTTTCACTCCAGGCTGGACTCAGCATCCCTCCGTGGGCTGTGCCGCTGTCCCCGGGTGGGTGCTGGGGTGCAGGGCTACCAACCCTGCCACAGAGCCACGGCAGGAAGCCACCACCTTGACAGCAGCTGCCAGCCAAGCCAAAAACCTTGAAAGTCACAGAGAGGAGTCATCACCAGCGCAGAGCAAAGCGTGCTCAGATTCAGCTGTAGCTTGCCCATGGGATAGATACAGAGCTGGCATCACCATGTCCACCGTGTCCCATGGCTAGGTAACCTCCGTGCTGCCAGCCCTGCCCCTGTTAGTGCAGCTCTTCTGCAGCCCCAGCTCTTGGAAGCAGTTTCAACATTCTCAGCCCCAAGCACCTGCCAGCAGGGGTGCCTCCCAGAACACCATCCGTACCTGCATCCCCCTTGCACGTATGTATTTCACAGCCAGCTTCCCCAGCAAAGTGCTCTCTTGCAAGACAGCAGAGCATCATAAGTTCTTAAATAATTGCTTCAGAAAAAAAATAAAAAATAAAAAAAAGGATTTTCATACCATTTTTGTTTTTTTCCAATTATTACCAATCAGATGCTTCAAAAACCCTTGTCCAGCAAGGGCCGTCAGATATGCACAGGACAAGGCTCCCCAAGTCATTTATTTCCTGTGTGAACAGCTGCTTTAGCACAGGCTGCTCATCAGGTCACACATCCCATGCTGTGAGGCACTCAATACAAACCCAAGCTCGGTTTTAAGACATAAACCCACGATGGTGCAACATAATTGTGCCCTATTGCATCTACATGGTGACAATAGCGTAGCCTGTGATGCAAAGCCCAGCAGTGTGAAGCCCTCCAGCTGCCTGGGGTTATTGCTGCTTAGGTATGTGTTTAAGAGTGAAGATGAACATGGTCAGAAATAATCACTTATGAGGCCAACTGATGGAGGTAAAGAAGAAAAAATTAAGTGAAATGGGGATGTCCAAAACCTTCATCAAGTAGAGGCATTGCCCAAATGTCTTCAGCCCTGCATGGCAGAGGCTGGTCAGATCCTGAAAGGGTTAATATATTGACTACTCTTCATCCCTAGTACCTGAGCTCATCAGAAATATTAGAAAAGGTAAAGTAGGGGAGGGAGACGGGAGAGCACAAAAAGAAATAAAGCAAGAACCCGACTGGCCACTTGGCACCAAGAGACTTGTCTGCCTTCAAAAGTGTTTTTATTTTGGCCTGGGCAGCTGGGTTATTTGAGGTGAAAGGAGGTCAGTTTGACCTTAAAACAAAAGCCCCATTCCCTTTCATCCCCAAAGAGAGGGAGGAGGGAGGAGAAAGCAGAGAGGGAGACAGATGCTCCTCTACATATAGAGGGAGAGGAAGAGCTGTGAGAGAGGGAGAGGCACTTGCCTCCTTGCCATGCCGGTAAGGGAAGGGGGAGATGAAAAGAGGAAGGACAGCTGACACGCAAACCCTCGCTGCTTGGCTCCATCACAGCAAGGAAATGCACCCAGAGCACCCTAAAAGTGCTGTCTGCCCACAGCACCCAGGGAGCCACGAGAAGATCCCGCTGCTCAGTCAGGATGGGGCAGGGGAATTGCCCCCACAGAGCTGCAAAGCCACCTGCAGCCTGACCAAAACTGAACCTGAAGCCCTTCCCAACCCAAACCTTGCTGTGTCTGGGTGTGGGATCCTTATGCCTCTCTCTACCCAGCATCAGCAGATAGCAGGGGACAAGTCTGGTGAAGCATCCAGGTTGGGATGGGACATCCAGGTTGGAAAAGGACATCCAAAGTAGTTTCCCAACTTTGCAGCGCCTCACTGCTCCCTGCACAGGCAGATTGTAACGAGAGGGAGGCTGGCTCTCAATGGCACTCCTCAAAAAACCCACCCTGTTTACTTGAAAGTGACTTTTTAATTCCTTTTCCCAAGGCAGAGGCAAGACTGCCAAATGCACCATGCACAGCTGGTATCTCCATCCTCTTCCCCCCCATTTGGCTTTGTATCTTTCCTGTAGTTAGCCACCTTGTGGCTCAATCCTCAGTGGGGAGCAAGACACAATGTTTTCCCACTCCCAAGCAAAGCAGGGGACTGAAACACCAAAACAAGGTATCACACTCGAGGCACCTTTGCCCATAGATTACTGAGCATCCATTGTCACTGGTTTACTCCTTATCCTCCCAGTTTACCAGCTAATCCATTGTACTGCCAATAGTTCAAAGACCCAAAGCATCCTGGTGGAAAGCCCGCTGCAGTCAGCTGGTCTGAAGCCATCTGCACGCTGCACACAACAGCAGTGCAGCACTTTTTGGCATTAGCTGCACTACAAAGGGGTAAGACATCACTCTTCAGCAACAACTTCAGCAGCAGTAGCTGGGAGGTCACGAAGCTATGTCACAAAGTTTTGGGAGCAGCCTAGAAGGTGCTGCTATACCAAAGCAAAGCCTATCCCGGGAGGGGAGAGAGCTCAGCTTCCAGCCTGCTCTTAGGATGCAACATTTAGGCAGCAAAGTTTCAAAATAAACCAAGGACCCAAGCTCAGCAGAGCACTGGCTGCAGACATCCCCATTAATGTAAGGACTTGCCCTTATCACTGGTGAACCAGCGACGTATGGTTCCCCAGAGACATTCTATTGTTCTGAGCATCATATGAGAGACCCAGCTTCCCCATGGTACCAGACAGTCCCCAAAACCAGTGCCAGGTGGGCGCATGTCACCCTGAACATATCCATTTTCTCGCTCCTCTCCTGGCCTACTGCCATACACAAGGAAATCACGAAAAGCACCAGGCTGGGAAATCCATTCTTTCCTCCCAGCCAGCTCCGCTGAGGCAAGGCGTGGTGTGATGTGGTGTGGTGTGGGCAGCATCCTGCACTTACTGAAGTAGAAGCCCCTGTCCCCGCAGACGAACTGCAGCGTGTCCACCAGCTCCCCGCCGCACAGGGTCTCTGCCGTGCCGTACGCGGCGGCCGAGTCCAGCGCGTAGGCCAGGAAAGCCAGGAGCAGCAGCAGCATCCGCCTGGCCGCGCACATCCTCGGCACCTGGGGACAGAGGCACAGCGTTAGCACGGCGGGACAGACCCCTCTCTGCCACCCCCAGCCCACAGACGTGTCGGGATGCTGCTGCTGCTGCTGCAGGGAAGGAGCCGCTGGGGCGAGGCCAGCTCCCTGCGCTCGGCCCGCCGGGCAGCAGCTCCGGGCACACAAGGTTTTCATTGAAGCGGTTTTTCCATTGGAAAATCCCACTTCGGCCTACCTCTAAAAGGCTTTTATTTCCCCTGCTCTTTCAACAGTGTGATTTTTTTTTCTATTTTCTCTCCTTTTAAAAGGGAATTAATTTTTTTTTCCTCTTCTGATGACAGGTTTTCATGCCCTGTCTGAAAATATGTCCATGCAAAGCGAAATCAAGTGAAGCTTCAACCTGTCCTAGAGCTGCTTTTGAGGAAAGCTGGGAAGAACAGCTTTTGTCCCGGGCATGTGAGAGAGATGAGGCTCAAGCAATCAAGAGGCTGATTGCACAAGCTTTGTTTGCTGACAAGAGTTGGGACTGAGAAGACATCCCTCAGGAATAATGTGGTCCCATGGGAAATGCACCTGAGGCATCACTAGGGAGGGTAAAGGCAGTGTCAGACAGTGCAGAACATTAAAAGAGAAACTCCCTGGATATTTGCTAGTTGGCCAAAGACTCAGCTCCAGCAAACAGCTTTACCTCCGTGTCAGCCTCTGCAGGTATAAAGCAAAGGTGCTATTGCCCCACTGGATGGGGCAAAACCCATGAATGGTTCCAGGCATTACAGTCCCTCAGTGATGTGCCTCACAGTACACATACAGCCAAATAATGCTGGGTTTTGACCAAACAGGTAAGCTCAAAATGAAGAGAAGCATGTCAAAATAGCAGACGGTGGGTTGCAACCCTAATCTCAAGCAGAGCATCCTCTCTCCTTGATAATATTCAACCAAGACACTAGGTTTCACATCCAGCTTTCATCACCATAGCATCTGAGCAACTCGAGAATAATATCAGTTAATGAATATTACCTCACCCCCCCGGGATGCTCGGAGATGGAGCTGAAGCCCAGGATAGATTAAATGACTCGCCCAAGGTCACAGGGGAAGTCTGCAGCGCAGCCAGGAAATTAGCCCAGCTCCCCCGAGGCCCCACTATGGTCCTGCCAGCAATAAAGACACCCTTGCTCCCGAATTTTTAGTGGCACGTAGCTCAAATTGTCACCGCTAGAAATGCATCACGCTTACAAGTCATGAGCTCTATCGAGCAGCAGGAGGACAGGGATCAGCAGCAGGAAAAGCCAAAACAGAGGTCTCAGGTCTGGGTGGGCTGTGAGGGATGTTTCTCCTCCTTGAGTTTTGATGGGAAGAGTATTGCTCAGCCTGTGCTGGCAGAGATCAGCAGGACTGGCAGAAGCCCTACAAAGCTCTGGACAAGAGAGGAAGCAGCCCCGGGAACAAACTGGTCTCAAATCAGCAAGTGATGGGACCAAGGACCAGCTTTTCCAGTAGCAATGGTCCCTCCAGCACACTGCAGGGGCTTTGTTCTGTATTACAGTAGGAGCAGAGGGATGGCAGCAGGCTCTGACACCATGCTGCCAAGCTGCAGCGTTTTAGCCCCAGAACCTTCTCACCTCAATTTTTTTTAAAATCAAGTGGCCTACAGGTGTTTACTAGGCCTCTCCAACATGAATACACCATCACTTTCACTGCTGGAGTCATGGCCCTGGTGCTGAAGCATCAGGAGCCAGATCTCCAGCTGACAACAGACCAGCCACCCTGTTCCTGTCCCTTTTTCAGCCCTTTTTTTTACATGCAGATCCCAATTGCTGGTGTCCCCAGGTCTCAGGTAGTGCCAGGGTGATGGATTTGCCACCTGCCAGTGCTCCCATCCAAGGCACTCTTTTGGGACTTCAGGACACCCACATGATCTCATGTCTCCAGTTAGGCTCATGCTGGCTGTGGGCACTGTGGCTAATAAGCAGGCTGCATGCTGGCCTCCCCAAGCCAGAGCCAGCCCTGACAGGAAGGGATTGATTGGTGGCACAAGTGACAAACACCATTTTTCCTCCACATTCAGTCTAAAGAAAAGGGTGAGATGCTCTTAAACAAGGGGAGAGCGAGATTTTGTCAGCGGGTGATATTTGATGCTGGGGAGACCTGATACCTTCTGTGGAAAAACACTTGTGCTTCTCAGAAAATACCTGCTCCTGCACAAGCCGCACTGCAAGCCCCTGGCAGCCTTCCCTGCCTCCACTACAACTCTTTCCAGGTGCCCACACCCCGTTAACTCCCCTGAAGTGGCAGGAACAGGGAGGGCCCTAGTGCTGTCATCCAGAGCACAGCTAACATGGAGGTGTGAAATGCAACTGAGGCCACCTTTGCCCACGCACCAGCCACCAGCCCTTCCCTCTGCTGTCACCTTGGCGTCTCCATGCTCCTTCCAATAGCTGTGTAATGAGAAACCAGGCAGCAAAGCAAAGAGCATCTTTATTTACTACCCAGGGCTGCAGTTTCTCTCCAGCTTGATGGAGCTGCAACCCAACCCAACCCCATAAGCCACTCCATCTCCCTTTGGCCCTACTGACTCTGCTAATGAAAAGCCCCCAGATTTCACACAAAGGTTATAGAGGCTCCCAGGGTGCCATCACTGGCTCAACATGTCCCAATAACCTCTCAACTGATCCTTCCTTCACAAGCAGGGATGAGCAGATCCGTGTGGGAGAGCTCACACCTGCCTTGCCATGGCTGCCAGAGCAGATGCTGCTCCCCAAAACAGGGCACAGCTGGGTACCTGCAGCCCACGACCTGGTTGGTGCAAGCACCATGCCAGCTGCACAGATTGCAAGAACTGAATGGATGCTCAGTATGATGAGTCTAAGCCTGGTGAATACTTCCAAGACTTCATTCTCCACTGGAAACATGGGACTGCACAGCATTCGGGTTCTAGTCCCAAGCATTAGGACAGGCATAGTCTCCTCAGCTGTTGAACAGGAGAAAAATTCACACTAATGGTTGGAAGAACCTTCGTATTCTATTAGAAAGCTCTCTTACATGAAATGGAACAGGAATAAGGCAGCACGAGGGAAGTGGGCCACTTCCCTAAAGGACAAGGTGCTGCTTCTGCTAGAAGAGAGGCTACAGCTACCACTGTCCCATTCTTGTCAAAGCAGGTCCAACCAGCTGCTGACTGCTCTTGCTCCTCATGTGCCACGGAGAGCTCAAAGGCTTTAAGATGCAGTGGGAATGGCAGTGTGAGATGTGCCAGATGCCCAAGACCCTGAGCACCAAATTCCTCCTAAGGAAGGCTTGGAGCCCACACAGTGTGCAAGAGGGTGATGGAAGAAAGATTTCTTGGTTGCACATGTGACCTGTACCATCCTGTGAATCACACCTGAAGCTCCTCTGAATAATCCACATCTGAAGCAGCATTATCAGTGCAGAGCAGGCTCAGACAAGGTATCAGCACACACTGCTGGCCTCTCCCTCCCTGGAGAGGGTTTGCTTTGCTCTCCCATCCTTCATGCTCCTCTCATGCCAGGCTGCCACTGGAACCAGCTCAGCCACAAGCTGCCGTGCGCAGGATGTTCCTGCCTTGGAACTCCTGTGTATTCCTGCCTTGCAGCACACGTCACTGCACCCACGGCCAGGGACCCCCACACACCTCCTGGCAGCCTCCAGCCAGCAGAGAGGTGCAAGAGAAAGGGCTCTCTCTGAGTGGCTGTGGTGTGCTGGGAGTGAGCCCGAGGGCAGGTCTGCAGTGGAGTCACCCTCCCACCGGAGACTGTTAAAGGATTTTTTCAGGATCTGCTGCTGAATCAGCTGGACTGACAGTTTCTGTCCAGCTGCTGGGGAGTCGGGGGCCAAGAGGCCACAATGTGCTAAAAGGCCCACTTGCCAAGTCTCAGAGTACAGCTCAGGCATCCCTTGTATCCAGGCTTGTGCTGAGCAAACCAAACCATGATGCCTCTTGGGCAACAAATATCTCCCCAAAAACAGAGACAAAACCTCCTGTCTGACCTAATTCCTTCTTCAGTCTGGCCTTCATTGCAATTTAATATGAACAGAACAACGTAGGAGGGAATTGACAGATGGCCCAGTCTGTAAAATTTGGATTTGGACAGCAAAAAGAAAAAAAACCCCAAAATCTTGCTTTTTTGTGGAGCAGTGCAGCGTTTAAAAGGGAGCATGGCGAAAGAAAAGTCATCAGCCCAAATCCAGTGGCACGTGCCAGAGGGGAAAACCCCAGTTTAATCCCTTACACTCCATCCCTCAAAAAAAAAAAAAAAAAAAAAAAGCCAAAAAAAAAAAACCAAAAACCAAAGACGAAGGGCAGACTGATGTTTTGCTACTCTGAGGATTGCCTGTGAGAGATGCTGAACATCTGCCTCTCTGCATTACTCCTCTCCACCGTGGACAGCCCCAGGAGAGCGGGGAGCTGACCCGGTTCTGAGCATGGCAATCCCGAAGGAGCAAGATGTGGGCATGTGCCAGCCTCACAAGTGCCAAGTGAATGCCAGCCCTGCCCACAGGGCAACCCAACCTCACACAGGGCGCTGGGCCATGATGCCCCGAGGTGCCAAGGAGCAAAGGGATAATGGAAGCCAGCGTGAGAGGCAGGTGCCTTGGCAGCTGGAAATCACCCAGGAGCCACATCTTGGGCAGAGGCACAGGAATGAGGTGCCTAGCAGTACCTGAAGGCAGAGGAATCACCTCATAGAAGAGCCTCTCTTTTCATCTGAAACAGAAAGGAGATTTCCACATCTTGGAAGAAGCAAGCTTCAAAACATAAAACTTTTGACCACTGACATGTCAGGCAAATAAAAATTACTCAGGACGACCAGGGATTTTGCTGTTCCAGGCTTGGGGAAAAAAAAAATACCTTCTGATTCTTGGCACCTGGCTCGCATGACATTCATATGGCTGAGGTTGGCAATACTGCTGCTATTTTTAGCCCTCACTTTTTTTGTCTTCACTGCTCGTCCCCATCAGCAGCCCGCTCAGCCCCACACCGGGGGTCACCTTTCTGCCTCCCATCCTGCGAGCCCGAGAGGCACCTGCCTCCTCTGCCTGTGGGACAGGGGCTGGGGCAGGCAGGGAAGAGCTGCCCACACCCCATGTCTATATGTGCTGCAGGAGAACTACCGTGTCTGTGGAAAAATCAAGCCGAAAAAGGTGAATGGGGTATTCAGTACCATTTACTCACCCCACTGGGGAGTAAGAGTGTATTGCATAAATTTTGGTATGCAGCCCAGAAATATTTGATTTATTATATTAAAAAAAAAAGGAAATGCAATCTTGCTTAACTCTTCTAAAGACAGCTGGCAGGACCCAGCGAAGGGATTTAAGTCCATTTTAGTAGCCTCACTTAACTCCTTTCTTTATTGTTCCTCTCTCCTTTCTGCATTCCCTTCCAAAACCTGGAGTATATCAGGGAAAGTTAACAGCAAGTTAAGCTGTTAAATCAGGAACTGTGGTGACTGGAGTCTACTGGCAAGTGATATTCCCACAACACGTTGAACTTGCTTTATGTCTTGGCAGAGCAGCTTTAACCCTTTCAGAGGCGGGCTGTGAGGCCAAGGCAGACTTCCTCCCCTGGTGCCCCCCACCTCTCCTGACCCCTCACACAACCATGCCGAGGGAGGCCGATATCGCTTTCCCTGCTAAGACACTCATCAGCTTTTAAAAGCAAAGACAATCCAAAGAAGGATCGGAGAGGTCAGCCCCAGGACATGAGCTGGGAGAGGGTGGGCCACTTACAGTGCTCGTATGCACTGCTGGAAACACACCAACTCCTCGGTCCCTCTAAAAATAAGACCTCACCTGCTGTGTTTGCTTTATTTAAAAAAAGAAAAGTACAGAAATGCTTTTCTCTGGTGCTCCATGAGGCAAGCTGGGCTCGTGCTGAAGCCTAAAGGAATCAAGGGGGAGACACACACTGACAACTCCGGGTTGACTGGTCAAAGCAGCAGCCCTCCAGCCAGGCTGAAAAAAAGATCACCTGTCAGAAAGAGCGCTGGGACACACACGCAGACACATTTTGGCTCTCAAATTTCATGCAGTGGTGGGAGGGGACCCGCGGTGTCAAATCTTTTATCCCTTAATGAATTTTCACAGGAGCTGGGATAGCCCCTTTGAAAGGCTGAGTGAACTTGTGTGGGTGTCAACAACACGGAGCAAGATTTACAGCTCTGACCCATTCACCCCCACCAAAATTGTCAAGTTGGGTCCAGAACAGCACAGTGGAACTCAAATCAGAAGTGTCAGTCAGTTTTATACCTCCAGATGTCCTTAGCACGAAGTCATTCTTAACAAAACCCCACGACCCAGGCTCCTCAACTCCACTCTAAATCAAGGCAAGAGGAGGAATAAAAATCCCAACACTTTGAACCCTGCAAAGTAAAGGGAAAAAAAAAAAAAAAAGCCACCCACATACACACACAACCTGACAATAAACAAACCCAAAGAAAAACAGGCATCAGGCTCACAAGCACATCCCAGTACTTGGAAGAAAACTACAGATTTTGTATAGGAAGCCTGGGTTGAAAGCGGAGGCTCTCCCTAGGTGTCTGTTTAAAACCACCCACACAAACCTTGTTTTTACACTTGATTGCTCCACACCACCCTAGCGAGACCTGGCGTATCAGCAGCCCTGCTGAACTACCCCTGGCTGGAGGCGAGGCAGCCACATCTGCTGGTACAGTTACGCTAAATCCGAGTTCCCTCATGTGCCCCAATTCCTACTGCTCAACAGAGTGCTAAAACCTTTCCAAGTGGCGCTCTTAAAACAATTACTGTAGGGAAGAGCAATTGGGAAGGAAGAAGAAGAAAAAAAAAATTAAAAATCACAGAAAGTCGAAGGCTGCACGCCAACCATTAACTCTCACTCCATTTTGGCTTCACTTTCTTGTTTTTCCTCTCTGTATTTTTATCCCTCCCGAGACCAAACACACCGCAGTGTTTTGCAGAGGAGAGTTTAACAACCTCGCCGGTCTCCGCAGCCGGAGAACCGCCGGTGCCCTCCCCGCGCGTCTCCCCTCTCCCCGCAGCCGCCCGGCGCGGAGGGAGCTCCGCGGGCAGCCGGGGGCCGCGCAGCGCTGCGTGACCTCGCATAGCCCCGGCCCGGCCCCCGCACGGCCGCGGCCGCCCCTCCGCCGCTCCCCACGCGGGACCCGGCGGCAGCATCGCCGGCGGCAGCATCGCCGGCAGGGCCCCCGGGGATACCCCGCGCACCCCACGGCAGCGGGGCCGCCCCGCCGGCCGCGGCTGGGCCGGAGCTCGGGGTCCCTCTAGTGACACGCGTGGGGACGGCGGGCAGCGGGGCCGGCGCGGCTCGGGATGGCTCAGCGGTGCCCGGCGCGGCGCGGCTCGGCTCTGCCCGGGGGATCCCACCGTGCCGTGCCCGCGGAGGGGCAGCGCGGAGCGGCGCTTACCTTGGCACTGCCGCTGCTACTCTCAACTTCTTGCGGCGGCGGCGGGCCGGGGAGGAAGGCGGGCTGCCGGCAGCGCTCATCCGTGTGTGCCCCGGCGCTTGACATGCTGCTCTCCTGCCCTGGCAGCGATCGCGGCTTTGGCTTGCCTTCCCCGCGCCCTGGCACGTTCTCCTCGCCTTGCTCTTTTGGTATGTCAAGTCCCTGCTGGATTTTGTCTGAAGGATGTTATTTTGTTACGATCAGGTATTTTGTTATTCTAGAGAAAGAGCGATCGAGCGCTTTCCTTTCCTTTCCTCTCCTTTTCTTTTTTTTTTCCTGGGTTGTTTTTCGCCCTTTTTTTTTTTTTTTTCTTCCCTTCTCTTTCTCTCTTGCTTTGGCTGCCCCTTGGGTGGCTCTCACTTTTGTGTTTACTGAGTGCGTCCCTTTGGTCGGGGCGAAGGTGCCGGCTGCCCGCTGCTCCCGGCTGCTGCCCCACGAGCGAGCAGACAAGCAGGGCGCTCCGGCTTTTATACCTTTTATACCCTCCCAATGGGCATGCTCTCCCGGCGAGCACCAGCCCGGCCACGCAGCCAATAATGTTGCAGAGCGGTCTAACCCCCTCTCTTCCCTCCCTCCCTTCCTTTCTTCCCTCCTTCTCCCTCGTAACCCTCCGGAGTCCAGCTCGGGAGGGAAGAGGGGACAGAAAGTTTCTGCCGCACGGTTCTTTGAGTGCTGCTAGCCGGGCTGGGGGCTTTACCCCCTCTGCCGGCCCCGGGTGGGAGGGGGGCTCCGCGCATCCGCGGCCGCCCCGCAGGTGAGGGGAAGAGCTGTGGATCCGCGCCGCGAGCCCCTGCCCAAAACACCGGGGGCACCCCTTGAGCGCCTCTCGCTGTGAGGTGGCGAGCCCCGAGTCCCGGCGGGGTGGGAGAGGGGAGATCGCCCAGTCCGTGCTCTCTCGGGTCCCCCTCTAAGTGCACACGGGCACAGGTGTCCGCGCCGGCCGCGGAACAGCTCGGAGGAGCTCCCCGGCAAAAGAAGGCACGGGCAATCCCCGGCCGCCGTGCCTGCCCCGCTGCGGGCAGCGAGCCCCGCCTGGGCGGCTGCGAGCCCCCGCGGCCACCCCTGCGTGTCCGTGTGGACAACATGGACGCTGGCCCTCCGCACTCGGAGCTGGCACCTCGCAGAGCACCTTCCCGCCGTGGTTCCCGCTAGCTGGGTCGCCTCCGCTTCCCGCCGGCTCCTGCAGGCGAGCACTGCTGCCTCTAAGCCAAAGGGACTTTTCCCAGGCTTTGCCGTGCGTGTGCAGCAGCGCGGGCAGAACGCGCTCCCGCTGCTCTGCGCTGCTGCATGGCAGGCACACCAGGCTGCAGCGCCCGCTCCCGAAAATCTGCGTTCCGAGTCTGGCCCGGGGAAGGAGCCCCGCTGGCTTCCAAAGGCAGCCCCCGGGTAGCCTGCGGTGCCCGCACCCTCACCGCTGCCCCGGAGGGTGCCCCTCTGCAGGGCCACGCGTGTCAGGCTGCGCCACAGGCGCGCACCCTCGTTGGAGCAGAGAGGAGCAGGGCTACCTGAGCGGCAGGTTGGCCCACCTCAGGTAGCGCTTGCCATAGCTAGTGGTGCGGAAGGGCAAGGATGCAGCAGTCCTCACCCCATGCAATAAAAAGCCCTTATTTTTTTGCTTTTTTTCAAGTTTGTACTTCGTTTTTCTCTCCCAAGTATGGAAGGCTTGGTGCATCTCTCAGCAGCCGGAATTGCCCTAAACGTGCCCAAGAAAACGTGGGCAGGATTATCCTTTCTCACCAGGCTTTGGGCATCCTTTCCTTTCCTCCCTAGCATCCTTCTGTTTGCTGTGCTGTCCTCTGGGATGTGCCGCTGCACATCACACCCAGCAGTCCTGGTGTCAGGGCTGTAGGCTGGAACCGAAACATCGGCACGTCTGGGAGATGTTGAGGAGGCAGTTCCGTGCACATCAGACTCAACCACAGGCACCAATTCTCAGCTCCTACGCTGATATTTGAACATGTAAAGAAGTGATCTGGCCGTCAACGAGACTGAGCATCTGCTGGCATGTGCCAGGGCTCCAGATTTCTCCTTACCTTGGGCTTTTGGAATTTCTCCTTACCTTGGGCTTTTAGACTTTCTCCTAGATGCCCAGGACTTACTAAGTCCGAGTTGTGGGTCCTCAGCCGAGGTGGTCTTAACAACGAGCGAGCCACCTTTCCTCCCTGCAAAAGCAGAACCCCATCAAAGGAAAGGACCCAACCTTGGCAGGGGGGTCAGCAGGGCTGTAAGCTACTGTTAATAGCTGAAGGAGCCCAGCTCCCTTCCCCCAGCTCACCACAAGGACCTCCTGAGAGTAGACAAAAGAAAGCTTGGAGGGTTAATCTCTCTGAGAAAAACAAGTGATTTTCCAGTAAACAACTGCAATAGCAAACAATGGGGGTGAAAAATAGCGATCATAAAAAAGTCGGTTTGGAGGAAGAGGCAACCCAGTAAGAGAGGTGTCCTTTGGCTGGGGGAAAAACACGGCAGCAGTTTGATGAAGATTCAGCAGCAGCAGCAGCCACAGCAAAATAAACCCCACAAGTTGCCACTGGATCTACTTGTGTTTGTGCCTTTTGATCTTTTAATTGCTTCTTAGTTATCCTTCAGTGCAAATAAATAGTGCATTGTGTCAAGAAAGAGAAGGGGGGCGGGGAAGGGAAGAAAGAGACACAAAAGAAAGAGCTGTCGCCCAGAAGAGAAAAGGAACAGGTTCTTTCCCCCCACCTTTAAAGGAGTGAATATATCTGTATTGGAGGGGGGAGGAAGGGGATAGGATTAGAAATCAAAGCGAAATTGGAGAGAAACACATTAAGCCTCGGGCATCCTTACAGTGGGAGGAAAAGAGTGAGGTGATAAAACCCTTGGGGAGTTTCTTCGGTGAGTTATGAGAGGATCCACGAGTGTAATATTGTTAAAGGTCAGCCGAAATCTAATTTAAACTAGGGATGTGTGACCTCCGCCCTTCATTTAATACAGTCATAAGGAACATTACACTGCAGATAGCTGGAACAATAGCTGCCTCCACCCCAAACTCCAGCCCTTGGCATTGCCTGCGAGGAGGGCCGGCAAGGGGGAGCAGGAGAAGGACCAGTAAAGCCAAGGACGCAGCAAACCTGAAGAGAGGGAGGCAGAAAGAGAGGGATAGGAAGGCCTGTAGAGCACGGCACTGACCACCAAGGGTCTTGCAAAATCCCAGGAAACATTTTGGTTTGAAAATGGATGGGGCTGCAGCAAAGCATCACCTGAAAACGTTGAAAATACAGTAAAAATAAACCACTGACTCTTGCTTTTGTCTGACTCCGTGGTCGTCGGTGCAGTTCAGGAGAGAAATTACAGTTGCAGGTTCCCACTAAATTTGCAAGGAGTGAGAACAGTGTTCACAAAGCAAAGATAACCAAAGCAAGCTGAAACTAAGTGAAGCTAAAGTGGCAGCTGAAATAAAAGCAATATCTGAAAGGTGCCCTGAAACGACCAGGAGATGTCAGAGACTCAGAGGGAAAACCTCTGCTGCTGCTGCAGCGGCTTGGAAGCGTTGGGGCAGACTGCAAAGCCTCCTGGCGGCACTGCCCATCTGAGCTGATCAAAGCGGCTCGTGGGTGGCCACCAACACGTGGCGTTGGGCCGGAAAGCTTTCCAGGGAAAGGGGGAAGAACCGGAAAGTTTGGGCCAGCCTGGACCTTGCAGAGAGGGTTGTGAGCTTCAGCAAAGCAGAGGAATGTAAATAACTGCAGAAATGCAGTGGTCCTGGGCCAGGATGGATGTTAGAGATGCTGCTAGGGAGCTGAGCCAAGCAGATACCTTCAGGGAAGGGAACATTTACATTACTTTTCCCTTCCTCTCCCACCTGGAATCCAGAGAGAGAAGAGCTTACCTAATCCCAGCCCAAACAAGACACCCTGTGACGCTCATTTGGTTTATTTCACAGTTGCAGCCCAAATGACAAGGTGGGCAGAGCTGGGATTTGCAGTGCGTGGTTCAGGTGCTCTGCCTGCAGCACTACAAAGGTTCCCCAGTTTGTATTCTCATATGTCCCCCTAAATTCTCCCATGTCACGAGTGAGGACAGCCAGGAGAAACCAGACTGCTTTACTGACGTGCCCCTCCGGCCTGGGTTGAGATATCCCAGATGAGCTGAAAGGAAGGTGAGGGTGGGCTGTGGGTCACTGAGGACTAGAAGAAGTCATCCCTAGTGAGACTGGGGAGGGATTAGCCAGATGCAGGGCTAATGCAGCTGTTTAATGGCTGAGGAATAGCCGTACTTGGCCCAGAGCATCTTTCAGTGGCTTTAAGAAAGTGATACCTTTTGCTTTGTACCCAGGAACCTGACAATAACAGCGTGTCCTTGCATGCTGAGATATATTGATCCTGGGGCACACTAAACTGTTGGAACGGGAAAGATTCACTGGCAAAAGGGGATGTGATATATGGAAGGTCCCTGCAAAAAAATTGAAGTCAAAGAACTAAGAGTAAGAGAAATAATTCACCCGGGGCCCCTGGTCAACAAGGAACAAACAAAAGCAGAAGCTGGGCAGGTCTGTTTTAGGACTCCTGGCACCTCTGGGTAGCAAGAATATTTTGAGGCCATGCTCCCAGCCCAGAGAGTTCCTGCTGCAGGATTGTTTTATGGGCAGTGAAAAGGCCAGCTGTCCTTAGGCATCAGCAGGGCACCTTTATGGCATGTTCAGAGAGGAAGAGGGACTCTTATATCAACTCCTGCTCAGATCTACCAATGCCTTGGAGCACTGAGGTGTTCAGAAGAGGTGTTGGCATTTGCTTCCTAAGGACCTGGAGGTATGCTGAGCAAAGCAAAAATGAAGTTATTCCACCGTAAGTTATTTCACCATGCCAGAGGAATTTGTGACAGTGGTAAAAGGCACTGTCAGTGAAAACAGGGTAGTGTTTTCACCCCTGTTTATATGGAGGACAAACTATGCATTTTTTTATGGGCTGGACAGACTTGATATTCCTGTAATGTCTTTTGAAATTCAATGTCCCCAGTGACTAGAGAAAAGCTCCAGTGTGAGCAGCCTCACATGGCTCAAGAGGCTGTGGGAAGTAGCATGTGGGGTAGAGAGATGTCCCTGTAGCCAAGTGTGAGGGAGGAATTGAAAAAAGCACAAATGATGTTGAGCGAGTGAAGCTCTGTGGGTCTTTTTGTTGGGATGCTGTCTGCAGCATGGCCCAAAAGAAGGAGGACAAGGGGTCCCGGGGTCAGGTGATCCCAGAAAGGGAGAAGTGTCTCTTTTCTCCCCATCAACTGTGGAACAGCAAACATCTCTTGGTTATTCTTGGTTGCCAAGGAGGACTCCAGCTCAGCTAACAGCTTCCTGAAAGGAATTTCCAAGAAGGGTGGAATAGGGCAAAAAAGGAGAAATGCCTGCCCTCTCCCCAGCTTCTTTTCATTGCAGAGGGAGCCCAGAAGGCTCCAAGTTTTGTCCGATTATTTGTGTCAA